AACACATCTGTTTTTAAATCAGTGAAGCAACTTACAACTAAGTTTCCTGAATCAGGTCCATAATATCTCAAAGAAGGGGTGCTCCTTCAGCCAGCTCCTCCAATTAAGAGAACATGGAGTAACTAACCTGCAATGTACATCAACAGGAAGGAAAAACCTTGTGGGCTGTAAGCCACAAAGACTTTGGGTGAACTGTTAGCACAGTTTAACTTAGTTGGGTTGACTGACACAGAGAGAAACCAAGTCTTGACCCCAGGAAAGCCTAGTGGGTCTCCCTACTCCCCTGCTCTGAGGTCAGGCCCTGAACTCCCATCTGCACCAGCCCCCATATTCTTGCCTTCACCCAAGCTCCCACCGATGCACAGACCATAAGCAGTGTAAGCCTCCCACGCTACAGATGTGACCACGGACACTCCCCTGCTCCTGGGTCTCAAGGGCTCCCAGCACTACTTCTGTTCCTGCTCAAGACTTCATAAGGGCAGGAGCATGGACAAGGATTCCACAGACAGAAACAGCCTCTGCAAAGGACTTTCTCTGTGCCCAAGTACTTTATGACAAAAGTACACATTCATCCAAGACATGTATCTCGGCTTGTCATCATGAACATGTGTTTGCTCTGATCAAATCACATTTAGCGACTCTGGAAATTGCACCCTGCCTGTCCAATGGCTTTGAGCATCCATTACATAGGCTGATGCTGATGCATTAACTCCCTGATGAAGCCTCTCTCCTCTGCTTGCCCCTCTCACCTGGCTCCCACAGTGCCCCCCACAGTATCCCCAGGGCTGCAGCTCGCGTGGTTCCCTAAGCTTCTGGTGCTCCCCTGGTTTTTACTCTCAGAGGTTGTACTCCATATTCAAGGGCAAGTCATTTGCTCTGAAGAGCTTCCCAGTCCCCTCCACGAGGGCTGACTCCCTCCTCATGCTCCCACAGATACTCAAGCACACTGCAGTGCAATTACTGGTCCCAGCTCTTCCCAACCCAGGCCTTTCCTTCACATTCCTCGGATGGGACAGAAAGCATGTTATGCTCCCACCGATTGAGAGACTAAACAACTTTTCAGCATACCGATGGCCTGAAGTTCATCTCTGTTAAGAGCTGAGTGTTCTGTCATCCTATCCCCACAGCACTTGACATAAGCAATTCTCCCTCCAGGTTCTGGGCTCACAGAGAACCCCAAACTTCAAGCAGCTCAGTCCCGCTTGCTGATGGCAGCGCTGAAAGAAGGGTGTCCATTTCAAAAGAAATTTATTAACACACACAGGGACGGGGCACCTGGGTGGTTCAGTTGTTAAGCCTTTGACTCAGGTCATGATCCCAGGGTCCTGGGATCGAGCCCCACATCGGGCTCCCTGCTCGGCGGGAAGCCTGCTTCTCCCTCTCCCACTCCCCCTGCTTGTGTTCCCTCTCTCACTGTGTCTCTCTCTGTCAAATAAATAAACAAAAATAAAATCTTAAAAAAAAAACAACAACAACACACAGGGGCTTTGGTCATCTGAACATCTCGAAAAAAGGTTTTCTATAGATCTTTGTTTTTCAAGGTAAATAAACACTTATTTATCACATGTCTGACTTTGACCTCAAATACCTATCAGGTCTACTCTGATAGACTAGAAAGGACTTTATGGGCCCTGATGATGCCTTTTCCTTTCTCCAGCGTCCCCAGGCTCCTTGTAGATTGTCTCTTTGTTGCAATCCTCTGAAACCCCTGTAACGTGTGAGGGCATTCCGACAGCGAAGCATACTCCATCATTCCCTATCCAAACTTCTTTGTCATTTGGGGCCAGCGAGATTGTCTCAATAAACTCACTGGACAGGTGACACCACATACACCAGACACTATGCCACAAGACACAGGTCTCCTCCTGCGTCTCACAGGAATCAAAGTTCCAGAATATACACCTAACCATCTTCCATCTCCAAGTGCCTTCTAGTTCTTCCCAGTGCTTCCCAAAGCAGTCTCACCCCTACACCAGTCACCAGCTTCATCCAAGCAGTGCCTTCCATGCATCTCCACAGACAGAAGATTCTGGCCCCAAGTCTACACACGTTCTGAAGGTCCAGAGAACAATCAGGTCACATGGGTAACAGCAAAACACAAGGCCACTCCAACATTCCAAACACAGCAAAGTAACAACAATAAACCTGAGCGCTGAAACCACTCTTCATTAAGCCCCATTTCCCTTATGAGAGTATTTCTCATACAATAGTTATGTCTCAGGAACCAAATACACTGGACAATCTAAACCCATGTCAGGGTCACCAGCTGAAGCCAGTATCCACCTTGTTAATTCAGATGAAAAGACAAACACTAGAGGTCTTATCATCCCCAGGCACAGCTGGACTGGCAAAGAAACACGCAGACCCAGACCCAAGAGCCGGGAATGCTTGCGGATCATTCAAAGGAACATGAAGGATGCAATCCCACTAGTTTACGCGCAGAGAAGTAGCTCCTTTAGGCACGTACCAGCTGCTGATCAACACTATCCTGACCACAGAATCACCAGATGTACCTAATGAAATCTCTAACATAAGAAATAAAGACATTTTGGGGATGCCCAGGTGGCTCAGTCGGTTAAGCATCTGCCTTTGGCTCAGGTCATGATCCCAGGGTCCTGGGATAGAGCCCAACATCAGCCCCACTTCAGCCCCGCATCAGGCTCCTTGTACAGTGGGGAGCCTGCTTCTCCCTCTGCCTGCGGGTCCCCCTGCTTGTGTTTGTGTGCTCTAGTGCCTATGAGCTCTCTCTCTCTCTGACAAATAAATAAATAAAATCTTTAAAAAAAAGGGACATTTTTCAGATTCCAAATCTCTTAAGATCGAAAAGACAGACCTCCATGGGACCGAATAACTAAGTAACATCTGTGAACACAACTCCACCTCTAATCCATCAAGGGCGTCCAGCTTCTGAGGAGACCCCCGCCCCAAATTTTGCCCTTAAAAACCCTCACCTGAAAGCCATCGGGCAGTTTGGGACTTGGAGCATTAGCTGCCCATTCTCCTGAGTGGTGCCACACCAAGAACAGCCTACCTTTCTTCACTGCAAAACCTCCACGTCAGTCTTTTACTGGCTTGCTGTGCATCCGAGGGACGAATTCTCGTTTGACTCCTTTATACAACCACTGACCCTAAGGGAGGCTGTCACATGCAGATAAAAAAACATACAAAAACAGAATAAACAACAAGCTATTTCAGCTTTCTCGAGGTGTCAGCCCAGGTGACCAGAGTCCATCAGCTGTGAACCTAAGGCACAACTGGAAGAAATTTACCGTCAAGACACTGAGTCTCAGATTTCTGCATCCTGGTATTTAAAAAAAAAAAAAAAAAGAATTAACCATCCACAGGAATGCCACTTCTTGGGGTACCTCGGTGGCTCAGTCTTTAAGCCTCTGCCTTCGGCTCAGGTCATGATCCCAAGGGTCCTGGGATCAAGCCTGGCACCGAGCTCCCTGCTCTGCGGGAAGCCTGCTTCTCCCTCTCCCACTCCCCCTGCTTGTGTTCCCTCTCTAGCTGTGTCTCTCTGTGTCAAATAAATAAATAAAAATCTTAAAAAAAAATAAATTAATTTAAAAAAAAAAGAATGCCACTTCTTTCAGAGTCCTCTGACACATCTGCTTTCTAGAAGAACCTGGACATTTCTAGTCAAGGCCTACAGCTTCACACTTCTCTGTTTCTTTTCCTGTGTTCTCACCCTCCCCTATTTTGCTCTATGGCTAAGTTTCCTTTGGTCCCCCCGCCACCACCCTCCTTGGTGCCTCGGCGGCTCTACCTCCAGCAACTGTCCCTTTGGAGGTGAATTTTCAGTTTCACAAAGACAAACCCGAGTTATTCTAATTTTTCTCTAATTACCGGCGGGGGCGGGAGGAACCACAAAAATCAGTATCTACTATCACCTATCCAAGCTAGCACGCACTCACTTTCCTCTCAACCTCAGCTTTGCTCCCACTGCCCCATTTCTGACGCAGTGAGACCGAGGCTTCACCTTCACTCCTACAACAGGACGACCACCCGGGAAGCTACTGAAATCGGCGATGGCAACGACCCGGCCCCGCACCCGGCCCCGCCGGCCTCCCGCCTTACCGCCCGCGCTGCTTCAGGACGACTCGCTTCTCTCTATCCGCCGCACCAGCTCCACCAACATCTCTGCCATCTTCGCGATCTCCTTGGCCTTCTCCTCGGCCTTCTCGCACCTCTTGGCCGCTCTGCCCTCCACTCCGTCGTTGGGGTTCTGCAGATGGTTCAGGGCGCTCTCCTCCGAGGCCTCCACCTGCGTTTTTATTTGGATGAGCATATTGTCCATCTCCCACAGCTTGCTCCTGTTCCGCATGTAGGCTCTCCCGTGCTCCCGGGTGAGGGCCGCGATGTCCTCCCGCATCTCGTTGATGACTGGAAGCAGGAACTGCTCGAAATCCTCCCCGGGCTCCGCCAGCTCGACGATGTCCCAGGGCCGCATCTGTCCTGCCACTTCTTCATGCCCGCACCCCTGGGGACGGCTAAACTGTTACTGCGGGCGTCCGCGCAACAGCAGTGCTCCCGAATGATCCCTCCGTGTTCCTCCTTTTACGCCGTCCGCTTCAGAACCGCTACGGAAAGCAACGCCTTGAAGCCACACCGCGGCCGGGCCAACAAGGGATACTTGCAGCCATCACTAGCTGTGGGCGTGTTTGCGGCACTTTCACGACGTGGCCCGCCCCCCTTACGGCCATGCCGGGGACCAGCCTGGTGGCGGGTGCGCGCACGCAGACGGGACTCTGTCCCGGGCGCGCGCGCGCCCCCCCCACCTGCTTCCCGCACCCTGCCCCGCCCCCTTCTCTAATTAGGCTTTGGGAGCGCTTTGGGAGCACCTTGCTTACCTCCTCCGCGAGGGCATCCCCCGGCTTTTACTTTTACTTTTTCTTTATTTTTTTTAAGTGAAAGCAATTTTCCCTCCCTAGTATTTGAATAAGACAGGATGATGTTTACAGCACTTACTATCCAGGCACGCACTGCTCTAAGTGCTTAGATTCATTCATTTAACCTCAGAGCAAACCTGTTAGATGAAACACTGGCTAAAAACCGTGCTTATGGTCAGAATTTGAACCTGAGCCATTTGGGTCTACAGTCGCTGCTCTTAACTAGAGCACATGCTCCCTCTTCTGGGACAGGGCCCTTAAGTCAAAAACCCGGGATCCTAACTGGCCTTTTCTCTGTACTCTCCACCCCTTGCTCCCAGATTTTTGTCCTGGGGGTATTTTTCTCCCGCTGCCGGATTGTTCTGGTCAATAGGTTTTTGGTCTCTCTTCGAGGTAGGGGAGCTGAAGGTACTCCATTTTAGAAAGGCCCTGTCTCTCTTCTTTCTCTACTAGACCACACTTACTCATGTTCTATATTTTGCATCTGAATAAACCAAAGAAGATATGTTCCCGGGCGCCTGGGTGGCTCAGTTGGTTAAGCGACTGCCTTCGGCTCAAGTCATGATCCTGGAGTCCCGGGATCGAGTCCCACATCGGGCTCCCTGCTCAGCGGGGGTCTGCTTCTCCCTCTGACCCTCTTCCCTCTCGTGCTCGCTATCTCTCATTCTCTCTCTCTCAAATAAATAAATAAAATCTTTAAAAAAAAAAACAAAAACAGAACAAAAAAACAAAGAAGCTATGTTCCCACTTCAAAGGGAAACAAGAAAGTTAGTCGTTCTCTGAATTTTTGTCCTAGGCCCCCAAACACCTGATAACATCTAAGAAGAGCCAGATCCCAAACATGTTTCCAGGACATTAGCTTTGAACAAACTTAAGCTGACGCTGGCATCAATAACCCCTACCTTCGATGATTTATAGAATCACACCTATTATTCACCTGCCACTCACCTTTGAGCGGACCCTACTCTGGATTCCTGAAGGAACACGTACCCTACATCCCTTTCCAGTATAAACCCCTAGCCCCAAGCAAGGAAGAGACTCATTCTCCTTTCCTTTCTGAGTCTTCCAGACACTCAGTCTGCTAAACTCTGTCATTCACACTGTTCAATAAACTCTGTTTTTACGTTCTCTGGCTCGCATTTGATTTCTGTCCTGTGCAGAGTTGGTCCTACAGGGCCCCCCTCAGGGTCCTCAGACCCAACCTGCCCGCATCATCTTCACCAGACTATAAGCAACCCAAGATGAAGGGCCACTTCTGATTTGGCTCTGTCCTTAGCCTCTCCTGGCAGCCTGGACACAAGCAGGGCCTTAGGGAATGTTTTAGAGAGAAGGCCTCCTTTCCTAAAATATAAGTGCCTCTGCCTACTAGAGGCTCCTTGAGGACGGGTTCTGGTCTCGGTCCTTAGCACCTACAGGACCTGCAAAACAGCAGGGGCCCAGTAAAATGCTGCTTTAATATTCATTTAACAAAAAATGTTTGCGCACTGAGAGTATGCCACTGTGGAATGGATGGAGCCTCTTTCCAGTCTTGTTCAGCCAGTGTCCCACTAACCGTACTTTGGAGGGATACTGCTTGCAACAGGGCCACAGATTAGAGCTTTAGTGTTCCAGTCTCGTAAGTAAAGACCGGTGATCCCAGGCTGAATATCCGTCAATGGGACGATGCATAAGTGAGATGATGTGCAGGAAAGTGTTTTGCAAATACCAAAGCACCAGCAGATATAAGTGGTGATAGTGTTATAATTATTATGACAGTGAACAGAGGTTATTTGATGTCAAAGCTTTTAGAGTCAGAAACATCCTGCATTGGGTCCTCCTAGTCCCTCCAGTTTCTTGTTCTGTGACCTTGGACAAGTCGGTTAACCCGAACACATATCTCTGAGTGTCAATTTCCACCTGTTGCTCCAGGCTGGGCATTGGACATATGATCCCTAATGATCATCTCATGATCTTTATAGTCCATAATAATTATATGATATGGTTTGCCCAAGATTTTATATCTTGCTCTTTTCATGCCTAGTGCAGCCGTGGTCCCAAGAGCATCTGAAGCATGTAGTATTGGATACTGGATAAACTGATCGGTGTGTTTGCTCCTCACCCATCTACTGGTCCCCATAAGCTGAGAGAATGTCTGCTTCTCAATCATCTTCCTAAGGAACAGACTTAAGTATGTCCTAACAGGAGATGAAGTAAATAAGATCTGTATGCAGCATTTTATTAAGATTGATGGCAAGAGGGGTGCCTGGGTGGCTCAGTCGTTAAGCATCTGCCTTCGGCTCAGGTCATGGTCCCAGGGTTCTGGGATCAAGCCCCGCATCGGGCTCCCTGCTCCGCGGGAAGCCTGCTTCTCCCTCTCCCACTCCCCCTGCTTGTGTTCCCTCTCACGCTGTCTCTCTCCCTCTCTCTGTGTCAAATAAAGAAAGAAAGAAAATCTTAAAAAAAAAGATTGGTGGCAAGGTCGGAACTGATATAACCTACCCTGCTGGTTTTATGGATGTCATCATCATTGACAAGACTGAGAAGAATTTCCGTCTGATCTATGACACCAAAGGTCGCTTTGCTGTTCATTGGATTACACCTGAGAAGGCCAAGTATAAGTTGTACAAAGTGAGAAAGATCTTTGTGGGGACAAAAGGAATCCCTCATCTGGTGACTCAAGATGCTCACACCATCTGCTACCCTGATCCCCTCATTAAGGTGAATAACACCATTCAGATTGATTTGGAGACTGGAGACATCACTGATTTCATCAAGTTTGACACTGGCAATCTGTGTATGGTGACCGGAGGTGCTAACCTGGGAAGAATTGGTGTGATCACCAACAGAGAGAGAGACACCCTGGTTCTTTTGATGTCGTTCACGTGAAAGATGCCAATGGCAACAGCTCTGCCACCCAACTCTCCAACATTTTTTGTTATTGGCAAAGGCAACAAACCATGGATTTCTCTTCCCCGTGGAAAGGGTATCCACCTCACCATTACTGAAGAGAGGGACAAGAGATTGGCAGCCAAACAGAGCAGTGGGTAAAATGGTCCCTAGGTGAGGTGATTGAAAGTCTTTATAGTTAATTAAAGATCATACAGCACAAAAAATTTAAAAAAATATTTTATATCGTGTGTCCTGAGTGTCCCCTTTCACTCTCCAAACCTTCTTGGTTTGATGAATTGGAACTTATTAAAGGAAGATATATGACAAAGAACTTATATTCAAACCGTATTGAGAACTTCTATAGATCAATAAGGAAAAGACAAATAACTCAATTTAAAAGTGGGCAAGACTTGGGCGCCTGGGTGGCTCAGTCGTCAAGCGTCTGCCTTCGGCTCAGGTCATGATCCCAGGGTCCTGGGATCGAGTCCCACATCAGGCTCCCTGCTCAGCGGGAGGCCTGCTTCTCCCTCCCCCACTCCCCCTGCTTGTGTTCCCTCTCTCGCTGTGTCTCTCTCTGTCAAATAAATGAATAAAATCTTTTTTTTTTTGAATAAAATCTTTAAAAAAAAAAAGTGGGCAAGACTTGAGCCAGCACTTCACAAAAGGGAATACCCACATGGCCAAAAAGTATATAAAAAGTGCTAAAGTTCAAGATTCAACAGGGGAGGGCGCCTGGGTGGCTCAGTTGGTTAAGCGACTGCCTTCGGCTCAGGTCATGATCCTGGAGTCCCTGGATGGAGTCCCGCATCGGGCTCCCTGCTCAGCGGGGAGTCTGCTTCTCCCTCTGACCCTCCCCCCTCTCACTCTCACTCTCACTCTCACTCTCTCTCTCAAATAAATAAATAAAATCTTAAAAAAAAAGATTCGGGGCGCCTGGGTGGCTCAGTTGGTTGAGTGCCTGCCTTCGGCTCAGGTCATGATTCCAGGGTCCTGGGATCGAGCCCCGCATCGGGCTCCCTGCTCAGAAGAGAGCCTGCTTCTCCCTCCCCCTCTGCCTGCCGCTCTGCCTGCCGCTCTGCCTGCCGCTCTCTCGCTGCATCTCTCTCTGTCAAATAAATAAATAAAATCTTAAAAAAAAAAAATTCAACAGGGGAATGCCAATTAAAACCACACAGATAGCACTCACTATACATCCACAAGAATGGCTAAAAATGAAAATATTGACAATACCAAGTGTTGGGGAAAGTGTTGAAAAAAGCTGAGAACGTTCCAAGTCATCAAGAATAGCAAGGTTAAGGGACCTTCCTTTTGTTTATTTCTCTTCTCTTTCATTTCAATATAAGTAGCAAAAAGAAACTAGGGACAGTGAGAAGCTCTTCACAGGTCCTTGACATGTTCTATATCTTGATGTGGATGGAGGTTACATGATTGTGTGAACACGCAAAAGATACACTGAGGACGTACGCATCTTACCGTAGTTCTGTTACACCTTCACGTTTTAAAAAAGGGTTCTGTGAGCACGTGCGCGCGCGCGAGCATCCAGGGGCTGGAAACAGATTGGCGCGCGTGCGTGTACGTGAGCGCGCGGAGGCCGGAGGCTGGGGGCGTGCACGCGCCCGCGTGCGTGCGGAGGGGCCGGAAGCAGAACTGGGAAGCCGGAAGCGGGGCGGGCAGCCCGGCCGTAGCGGGCCATGGAGGATCGTCCCGCGGGTGGTGGGCTGCCGCGCGAGGGGTCTGCGGAGGAGGAGGCCGAGCTCCAGGGAGCTGCCTGGAGCGGGGACAGCGGCAACGTGTCCCAGAGCCACAGCAGCGCGTCGGGGCCGTGGGAGGACGAGGGCTCAGAGCTGGGCGCGCCGGGCCGCGATCTGCCGCTGCTGCGTCGCGCCGCCGCGGGCTACGCAGCCTGCCTGTTGCCGGGAGCCGGGGCGCGGCCCGAGGTCGAGGCCCTGGACGCCAGCCTGGAGGACCTGCTCACCAGAGTGGACGAGTTCGTGGGCATGCTGGACATACTGCGCGGCGACTCCTCCCACGTCGTCAGCGAGGGTGTGCCTCGCATTTACGCGAAGGCCACCGAGATGCGGCAGGTCTACAGCAAGATCGACCGGCTCGAGGCCTTCGTGGGGATGATCGGCGCCAGCGTGGCCAGGATGGAGGAGCAGGTGGCCAGGGCGGAGGCCGAGCTGGGCGCTTTCCCCAGCGCCTTCAGGAAACTGCTGCACACGATCAGCGTGCCCTCCTTCTTCAACAAGGCGCCCTCCAGTAGGCCGCAGCAGAGCGGCTACGAGCCGCCCGTCCTGTTCCGGACCGAAGACCACTTTCCCTGTTGCAGCGAGAGACCCCAGATCTGAGTCCGCCGGCCGGCACTGCCAGGGGACGCTGTCTGAGGTTACCGCGGGTGCTGAGGCAGCTGGAAGTCCGCTGTAGACATCCACGGTGTTGGGAGTATGGCGTGTCTATCTTTTGCACACTCTTGTTTCTCCCTGTCTGCATGACTTCACGTAAGGATGTGTGGTTTTCTGTGTCTTCCAGTGCTAAACTGACGGCTGCATGGTCGGGGGCGTCGGGGAAGCCAAATGAATGAGTTTATCTGTGCGCTGTGGCAAAACTTGTTTTCATAGGTTTTACGGCTCAACCAACAGTATTACCTTTTCCAAGTTTCTATATTTTATACTTTTAAGAAAAACTGCTGAAATGTTCAAGTTTTGTTGTTATTCGATCCTAATAGCGATTCCATTTTCTGTAGCTTTTAGGGTAGATGGTAAGTTATTTCAGGTTATATTAAACTTTGCACATCGTGGGTTGTAAACCGAAGGAAATCATACAGATTCTGAGAAGATGTATTGATTTATTGCAACTAATTCTGAAGTTGTATTTGAAAGTAGGCCCTCCGAATCTTAATTTGTCCACAGCAAACATGTCTATATGTGGTTCCTAACATTTGGTTTATAATTTAAATATTAATAAAAATTTTAAATTTTATTGGAAAAGCTTTTCTTCTGGAAAGGATTTTACATATTTCCTTTTCCGTTTGTTTGAAAATAGATATATTGCTCGTGATTGTAGGGATAAGGAAAAGTGGCTTGGGAGTACCCCCTTTAGAATGTGAAAAATGTGAAAAAGCTTAGCTGCTATTTCACAGAATTTTATGTTTCTTTCCTCTCAAAGTGAATAGTTAAATCACATCTGTGAGTGACTGGTATTAGGATTTTGTTCTTTCACCCACAGCATGGAATCCTAAAGATGTTTTGCAGATACAACAGGCTTTGATCTTGATTTGGATCTTACTCTGTTTTATTAATTGGTCCTCCTAGACAGTAAACCTCAAATAAGCACCCAGCTTAGGTTGCTTTTGTGTCATTTATTGTAGAACTTAGAGGCTAACAGAGTAGGCATATTCTTCTCCCTTACCTGTATATCATGATAAATCTGATCTTGTAGGGATGCCTGGGTGGGTGGCTCAGTCGGTTAAGCATCTGCCTTCCGCTCGGGTCATGATCTCAGGGTCCTGGGATCGAGTCCTGCCTCAGGCTTCTTGCTCACCAAGGAGCCTGCCTCTCCCTGTACCTGCAGCACGTGTTCTCACTCTCTCTCTGACAACAACAAAAAAATCCGGTAATGTAATTGCGCCTTCGCTTTCATGGACCTTCCTTGTCACACATTTATAGTTTTTATTCAGGAATTTCATTGATTACACATTAAGGAACTCCTGAATTTAGATGCTGAAAGCACAAGTAAGCTACATTTAATATTGGGCAATCGCTGGGTAGTACCATAAGTAATTAGCATATCCCAATAACATAGTCACCAAATATGAAAATACCTTTCATACCTAACATCCATGTTGCTAAAATGCTTTATATTAAAAAGTAGATAATAATTAGGGCAAATTATGAAAAATCGGATAATTTTATTTAATTTTTTTTGAAGATTTTATTTATTTGAGATAGAGAGCGCGCACACAAGCAGTGGGGAGGGACAGGGGAGAGGGAGACGCTGACTCCCCACTGAATAAGGAGCCTGATCCCAGGATCCTGAGATGGTGACCTAAGCCCAAGGCAGATGCCCAACCAATTGAGCTACTCAGGTGCTCCATTTTCTGGCAATATTTAAAATAAAAAAGCCCTTGGGGCGCCTGGGTGGCTCAGTCGGTTGAGTGTCTGCCTTCGGCTCAGGTCATGATCCCAGGGTTCTGGGATTGAGCCCCAAGTTGGGCTCCCTGCTCAACGTAGAGCCTGCTTCTCCCTCTGCCTGCCACTCCCCCTGCTCGTACTCTCCCTGGCAAATAAATAAAATCTTAAAAAAAAAAAAAATTAAGCCCTGGTTTCGATGACCACTTACATGATTACATGTGCAGCTTATCTCTAAGTAACCTTGGGTTCTGAAATTCTCCTAGTCACTTGTGTTGTCCTTGAGGGTTCTAAATAGAAATTAGTGCAGGGCCTTGTTTGGAATAGGGACTGGAAGCTGGTCTGCACAATGCAAGACAGATACTAGATGAAGCTCCTTTGTCTTGAGAACCGGGGCTAGGGGAGCCAGGCACACCTCTGCTCTGGCACCACCACCCTCAGACCTTCTGGCTCCTCTCCCACTTCTGACCAGCTGGAGATTTCAGGACCCCCTCTCATCAGTCAGTAAAATGTGGAGGGGCCTTAGTTGTCATCCTGGGTGACCCCTGTAGACCTACCCCTGCTTCTGGGGTCTGGAGCTCCCCCACTTTCTAGAAGAATAAACAGTTCTAAGGGATTTTGGTTTTTTTTCCCCCTGCTGGTGAAGGTGAATCAGGAGAAAGCTGGGCTCAGGACAGCAGACAGGGAGCCCAAGTCACCAGCTATCTTTGCATGAAAGACAGTCACTGGAGCCCAGCTCGCGTCTTACCTGCTTCCAGACCCACCTTCTTTAGCAGAAAACAGCTTCATGGACTCTTTCATGGCAGTATCTTCTAAGGACTCTGGCTTGGGGCGCCTGGGTGGCTCAGTCGTTAAACGTCTGCCTTGGGCTCAGGTCATGACCCCAGGGTCCTGGGATCGAGCCCCGAGTTGGGCTCCCTGCTCAGCGGAAGCCTGCTTCTCCCTCTCCCTCTCCCCCTGCTTGTGTTCCCTCTCTCGCTGCATCTCTCTCTGTCAAATAAATAAAATCCTAAAAAAAGAAAAAAAGGACTTTGGCTTAAAACGAACTGCTGTTAATAGTGCGAGCTATAACGGGGCGCCTGGGTGGCTCAGTCGGTTAAGCGACTGCCTTTGGCTCAGGTCATGATCTCAGGGTCCTGGGATCGAGCCCTGTGTCATCAGGCTCACTGCTCAGCGGTGAGTTGGCTTCTCCCTCTGCCCCTCCGCCTGCTCGTGCTCGCTCGCTCTCTCAAATAAAACCTTCCAAAAAAAAGGGTGGGGGGGAGAGCTAACATCCAGTTCATCAGTACGGCTGCAGGCATCACCCAAAACACACCCCAAATGCACCCTCTGTCTGTCCATCCCGCAGCTACCCCATCTCACCTGGGCCGCTCAGCCATCTCTTAAGTGGTTTCCTGCTTCCCCTGTCCCCTCCAAGCCACTCTCCACAGTACACAGCAGCCAGAGCTGACTTTAAAAGCCATAGGACAGATACATTGGGCTTTGCCTAAAACCATCCTCGGCTTCTCGTGATATTAGATTAAGATCTGCGTTCTGTTCTATGGCCTGCCACACCCTACAGCGTCTGTTCTATGGCCCGCCATACCCTACACTGACTGGCTTGCGCCTCCCTCCCCTTGCTCACACCCCTCCAGCTTCACCTTGATCCTGAAAGATAGCTGATGCGGTCCCTTCACAGTGCCGTGTCACTCTGTGCTGCCTGTCTCGCCCACCTCCAGGCAGGCACGGGCTCTGTCCGTCCCTATGCACCACGGCTGTAATTGTCAGGTACCACCGCGCCAGGCAGGCTCAGCTGTTGAGCCGATGACCGTCAGGCCGGCCGAGTGAGTGAACGGCCAGGCAAAAACCAGGCGCTGTATATGGAATGGGAGACAGACAGAAAGACGAATACAGTAATTCGATCAAGACTTGCTGGGGAATCAAGCATCCTGGGAGGGCTGAGGACACCAAGAAAAATAAGGCCTGATTCTTCTTCAAGAGCTGGACGGGCCAGAGTGTGAGCAGGCCAGATGCCAACTCAGTGCAACCCCAGGTTCAGGGATTGAATTTGTTAAATCTGGTGCAAGCATTCCTGTGGGCTCTAAGAGGGCCCCTTCTTAATTGTGCCCCGGGAATGTTGCTAGAGAACTTTCAGAACTACCTTTCTGAAGAGACTCTTTGTCATGCCAAAAGGTTAAAAATCATTTTCCAAAGCGACCTACATCATTAACCCCAGCAATAGAGAACGGAATGCATTTCTTGTAGATGAGAGATTCTTCTTTGTGTTCATCACCAAAGGGAGGCATGGCTGTCGGGGGTTGGGTGGGACCCTGGGGCAAGAACGGGAATAGAGACCCCAGGCCCCCTCCCGTGGGAGTGTGACGGCGCGCCTGGCCCCCGCGAGGCTGCAGGAACAGCTCCTGCCCAGCAGGGGGCACTGCCGCAGCAGGAAAGGCCGCCCTGCCAAGTGCTGGTCTGGCCCCGCCTTCCGGAACCGGCCCTCGGGGCCCTGTCCACGCCTGAGGGGCCCACAGTGTGGTGGGGACTACGGTTCTACCCCAAGGCTGCTCTTTTTGCTCAGGGTGTGGGAGGGGAGGAAGGTGGGATGGGAGCAGCTAGTCCCGGGGGGGCGGGGGGGTAGTATACAATGGCCAGGCCTGTCCCTCACCCCCGTTTGCTGTCCTTCTCTGTCTTGTCGGCACCCATTATGAGCATGCTCATCTATCAATTTGTCCGTCTGTCTGTCCCCCACGATGGCAAGGAGCTTGGCCTTTGTCCATTTTGTGCACCCTGAATCCGGGGTGCCTGGCCCAGAGCAGGTGCTCCAAATCTGATGGATGAATGGAAGACGTGCAAGGATGAGCAGGCTGCGGGCAAGGAGGCCCGGGGAGGGGGTCCTGGTGAGCGCTGCACCTTCCAGGCTCCGTTCCTGGTCACTCAGCAACATGTCCGGGCAAAACCAGGAACCCTATTGCAGTGTTTTCTCAGGGGGAGAAAAAGGCAGACTCCTCGCCAACCCACAAAAAATCCCTGTCGCCCTCTCGACTGTGGGACTGCTTGCTGGCGGGCTGTCTTGACAGCATGCGGACTCCTGGGACACCGCTGACAGAGAGACGGGCCGGCGGGGCGGGAGGGGCGGGGCTAGGAGGCGCTGGGAAAAGTTGAGCTCCAAGTGCCAGCAGCAAGTTGTTTCGCGTTGCAAGTTGTTTAACTTAGAAACGTAAGTGTTCCTATATTCTTTCTTAATTGATTTGTTTTATTTTTTAAATTTTTAAATTATTTTCTTATATTTGTCAGGGAGAGAGGGAACACAAGCAGGGGGAGCGGCAGAGGGAGAAGGAGAAGCAGGCTCCCCACTGAGCAGGGAGCCCGATGAAGGGCTCCATCCCAGAACCCGGGGACCATGACCTGAGCCGAAGCCAGACGCTTAAAGACTGAGCCACCGAGGCGTCCCATCTTTCTGCTTTTCTAATCTATGTGTTGAGTGCTACAATCTCCCTCTAAGCACTGCTTTTGCTACAACTTCTATAAGTTGTGTTTTCAGTTTCATTGAGTTCAAAATATTTTAAAATTTCTCTTGCCATTTCTTCTGTGACCCGTGTGTTATTGAGAAGACTGTTGTTTGATTGCTAAGAATTTGGGGTTTTTTCAACTGTCTTCATTATGATTTCTAGCTTACTTCCACTGCAATCCAAGAGTACATATTGCATGGTTTCCATTCTTTTCAACGTAAGGTGTATCTGAGGGTCTGTTTTTGATGTGGTCTCTCTCGTCAAATATTCTGTGGGAACGTGAGAAGAACGTGCACTCTGCTGTTAGATGAAGTAGTCTCAGAGTTTTTTGTTTTTAAAAGTTTTTTATTTTTAAGTAGTCTTAGCTTGCAAAAATAATCTAGGGAGTTCATGTGTGCCCTTCAGCCAGCTCCCCGCGGTGACACATTTTACCTAACCACCGATGGATGGATCATCTCCCGCTAACCCCTTATTCGGATTCCTCCTGCCTTTCCATGCACTCACTTTTTCTCTTTGTACCTAGTTCTCTGTAACCACTACCCCAGGTACAGAACTGTTCTGCCAGCCCAGAAAACTCCCTTGTGCTACCCACCTGCTTGTCACCCCCTCCCCACTCCAACCCCTGGCCACACTGACCTGCTCTCTGTCCATGGCTGCATATATATATATATATATTTTTAAGATTTTATTTATTTATTTGAGAGAGAGAGGGAGTGAGAGAGAGCAGAAACCGGGGGAGGGGCA